AGTTTTAACTTGTTTTTGTTGTTTGGCTGTGCTTATTTCCTCAGTGACTGTCGCTCAAATGCTTCAGTCTGGAGTTTGTGCTACCATGTGAAGCACAAAGCGGATATGTGTTGCTAATAAATATCCTTTTTTTATACGCTTACATTTTTATTGGGTTTTTAGATTCACACCTGCATTGAAGTTTATCCCACTTGGCTTTTATATTTCGGGAGTATCCGTTTTAAAAATTGATCCTTTGCCTCAGCTTGGTGGTGTGTTTGAATGCTGCAGGATTAATTGTGTGTGAACTCTCATTCTTGAGCTCAGAAACTGGTGGAACAACAAATGTCAATTTGCGTCACGTGTTATCCACTAAACTGTCAATGACACCGACTAAACTCCACCCACCAAAGGTATTCTTTAATGATGCAGTTTAAAACTGGAACCTGAGTGAGGCTTGTTTTGTCAAAATGCCATAAGACGTATAATACTCGCAATATTTCACAAAACAGCAGCTCACAGTAAAGGACATTCAAGTGATTTAAAGGGGTTGTCAGTGAAATCAGCCCTTTGGCTAACTTCCAGCACATTATTGCAGTTAGCAGTCCCCTCCCACATCACTATTGAAATTCTGCTGCCTGCTCTTAAGGACCGCCTCCTTGTGGAAGATACCAGAAAATGGATTCAGTACATTTACTGCAGAAAGGAGATAGACCCATGGAACTAACTGAACACTGCATCAGTAATGGCTGTCAGAATGTAGAGCTATTTAACAATTATTTTAACAAAAATAACAGCACCTGTAATATTGCTCTTCCAAGAGACTGAGATTTTAAAAAGCAAGATTAAAAAAATTAATTAAAATTGAAGCAGCAGAGACAGAAATATCTCTAGTTTGAATCAAACTCCTAAAATGTTACATCCTACACCTCCCACAATCCCCTGTAGTTCGTAAACGAGGCTTTGACTTTGAGATATAAATATATTAAATTCCATAGAAAGCTACTCCAGAGCCGCGCAGAACACATTAAACACCTTTTTCCACAGGCTGCGTAGCAGTGAGTAGTATTACCTATGACTAAACTCTGGGCCATTTCGAAAAAAGTATATTTCCTTTCAAATATTATAATTATAATTATTATTATTCATTATTATTATGTACCTTGGCTGAATCACACTGCTAGCGATCTAATATTCATGTTTTTATTTCAACCAGTATCAAGAGAGTGATCTTTTCTGCTAAAGGTATGTGGATTAAGTCTACGTAATCCTGACTGGGGATGAGAGGAGAACGTTTGAAACACTGGCATAAACGTCCAAAGATGAAATTCTACAAAGCATTTTGATCCCTGGGCGCTGTTTGGAGCATTTCAGTGTTTGGAGTCGGCATTCGGAGCTGGTCGCCTTGAGGGGATCTGCAGTTGTGCCATTAGTCCTGGTGCTACCTGCAGTGTTGAAAACTAACTTCACTAGGTAGTCTAATCTCCTTGTGCCATAGTTTTAAAGAAAAACACTCGCACCACATGTCATAAAACAGAAAGGTTGAAAGTATTTTCCTGCTGCTGTCATCTTCCTTTAATTTGATTCCAGCGTTGGGGCAAGTATGACATTTAGAATTAGGTTTGGGCACAATGGCAATATAACAACGAGAATGTGGTGAATAGTTCGCTCTGACAATAACTCAGTCGAGTTGCATTGTTTAAAACTAGTGTTCATGTTTTGCAAGCAATATGCAAATAAGAAAGTGAAAGAACAGTACTAGGGCTCAGCATTGTTTTATTTTGTATACAAAAACGTGTGTTGACGTTGGGGAGAAACAGCAGCTCTAGTCCATCGCTGGCCTCAGGTTCGTGTGGTGATCTTGTCTATTCTCACGTGCCAGAGAAAACAGAAGCCTGTCAGTCACTGCAAGCTGTCATTCCACTAGCCCCAGCCTGTGGCTACTCAGCTCCATGCCCCTGTACTTACATGACATTGTAGGCACGACTCCATGGCCAGACACTGCTCTCTATCAACTGGCATTCAGCATGTGCTTGGAATGGTCTCAAAACAGGTCGTCTGGTTCCTGGGCACGATCAACACATTTCTCAAATAACGAAGACAGGAAGAATACTGTGGGCGCAGATTCGAGCCAGAACATACAAAGACCTGACTACGGGTGCAAGAAGAGGATGTTGTGTTTCTAACGACTACCTGCCCTAGCGGGCAAGGGATCCTCAACACTTTTTTCACAAAGAGCCTCATTGGCCCAGAGCAACAACAAGGGAAGAGCCACTTTTTACGGACAACATACCAAGTCACCTTTTGCAAAATGTGCATTTGCTAGCATATAGGGTTTTTTTTGTCATGATTAAGGCAGGCCAGAGGGTATCGGCCATGAAGTAACAGATAAGAATTCGTCTATCCACGTCTCATTGAAATCTCTGTGGCTCATCTTGTATGCCTCGTACCGTTCTCGTTTTTTACTGGGAAACCACCTGACGTTTTCTGGCTCGCCTCTCGCGGCGTCTTGCATGCTTTGATTTTCCATTGTTGCTGCTTCCGTGCAGACTCTTTTCCTCCACTATTCGTTACA